AACGTTGAGATGCTCTTCAGGTACAAGTATTCAGCGGCAAACCTTGAAAAAATTGAATCCGGTATTCATATTCATTACTACCATATCTAAGAAATCAGTAACTCTACACAAAGCAGTCTCAAACCAAAGCTTGACCAATTTAATAAGCATTAGTTGCAGTTGTAAGACCGACTGCTCCACAGCTCAATGTGCTTGTCATAAAGCTATGCTTAAACTGCCATCTCCATAACAAACAATACTAATTGAAATCAGTTAGATAAATTTTTTTAAATTAATTCTCAATTTCATCGACCGAGAATTAAATCTTATCATATTATTAATTAGTATTAATACTATACTACCATAATAAGATGGTTAAACAATCATTAGCAAAGTCAACAATATTAGAGTAAGGAGCAAGCATAAATTAAATATTAATATTTCACATCTCTTGAACTTATTTCTTAAAAAGTTTGAGTGAACGCGACTCTTATACTTAATAATACACCAATAAACTCATTGGTAAGAACACGATATTAGTCTTTTTATTACTTATTTTAATTACAATATAACCCTTAGCAAGCGCTTGTTATAACAACATTAGTATACACACATAATTGACGAAACTCGGTAAATCTTTTTATCAAATTTCTTATTATTCCAAACTCACGTCTATCAGTGGTTTATTTTTGAATCGTTTCTTTATAGATTAAGCTGTTTTAAAGCTGTTAATTAAGCAATTGATGCAATTTATTTGTTATGAAAGATAATAAAGGTATAATTCACTTCATTGCTTCTAAAACCAACATTTGAACATCGTATAAATCGATGACAAAATTGAGGCCAACAACTGTATTGGGCACAAATACAGCATACTGTGCAGGAACTGTCCCAACGAGTGTGGGGTCATAGAAAACATACGAGACCGGAATGGTCACTCGAAAGGCATCAAGATTTGATGCATTGCAACCCGTAGGCGTAGGTGTCTTAGTACCATACCGCATAGTACCGAAATCCCACTATTATTAGCAAAAGTTAGTTTAAACCTCTGATATTTGA